TTATAATAAATTATACATAAATTATAAGTAAAGTGTTTAAGTAAAAGTGTTTATGTAAAGTTGAACCATTCTAAATTTCTACATGTTTTATATACATATAAAACATACTCACATTTCCTTCAAATTAAATGTACAAATAAAATTCAGATTTTTTAAATCTTTTTAACATTCATATAAAACAGAAATTTCTTTAAAATGATAAAAAAAATAAAACTAGACTAAAATGTATGGCTAAAAGAAATAATCTCTTATATCGTCTGACGTCTGATACATAATTTGGTTGATTCTAAGTGTAAAACATCAATAAACCGACGTAAATCTCTTTCTGTCACACAGAGTGGCATGATGGCAAAGTTAAAATAGAAGCCAGGTCAACACTTGTTTAGCATAATGAAATAATGTATGTTAATGTTATGAATGATTATACAGTGCTACAGCAAATTACAGAGAATTAAGCATTTATAAAGGGGTCATAAAAGAGTGACATTCCCTGATCTAACAGATAAATGAAACAATAAAATGCTTTTACAATATTTTAGTCACCTTGCACAGAAACTCTGGAATAACCAAGGAAATTCCACACACTTCAGCACTTGTCACTTAGACATCAGACAGTGAATATGTGTGAGACAAGCCTAAACACACAGTGACCACAGCAGTCACACCTAAAACACATGTCTGTTAGAGACCGCAGGATCCCAAGAAGATCCCTAATCGTCTCCTAAACTGTCAAAGAGGAGAAACATAGGGTGATTTTTAGGAGAGGAACTAATCCGAGACATCGAGCTGAGACAATCAAGAGTTAAACAGAATGCCAAGACACTGATTTAAAGTCAACATGAAACAGTGATCGCAACCTATTGTTATTTCCAAGCGAAACAGGATATTTAATGAGAAGAAAATTCGACTTGATTTTAGTTGTCCATTTATTTATTTTGTTATGTGTGTGCGTGCATACAGAATAGTGTATTTTAAAACTATGGTTTGATCAAAACTATTTTTTCACGCACAGAAAATTACTAAAATTAAAATGACATACTATAATAGAATAAATATAATCCTAAAATAACCATGATGTTAACCAGGATAAAATGGCAGCATTAACTGTCATTACCCACAAAATCCACCTAAACCAATGATTAAATAGCTATTCGGTTATTGGTTAACATATTTTCCCTTCCCTGCGCGGTCTAGGTGACATCAGATGATCATCCGTTTCAAGCAAAGTGTTACAATATGAAACATGTTTTCCTTTGGACTAACATGCTCTGATGAATCAGGCACAAAAAGTTCAGAAAACTTAGTAAATTTAGAATTCACACTGATGGAACTAATGACCTTTTCACCAAATGCCTGTAAATCCAGCAGCTCTGTGTCAACCTCGAATTCACATATGAAATCAGTGCTGTGCATAAATCCTTCGATTTCAGAACACACTGCATATCACTACAGAAGCTCAGGGCCACTTCTGTCCGTCACTCACAGGCGAGAGATGACCTCACTCTCAAGGAGAAAAAAAGAGATAGAAGAGTCGAGGCGAGCATTATCTGAGGGCGGAGTCTACAAAGGACATTCCACTGTGACTGCATTTTCCACTTGTGAAACTTCCTTTCAAAATACCTGCGCAGGTGAGACGAAGCACCAGAAAGATGGTCGGAGTGATGTCTGTGAGCTTTCAGACAGTCAGCGGAAGGGAAAGAGCAGTCACATACAGCTCAAAAGGTGTACAACTGAACTTATACACACAGATATGCCTGCATGAGTTCAGGTTAGGAATCAGGGAAAATCACATTTTCCCCATGAAATCCCTGCCATCTTACTTCTTTTAGGTGTGGTGGGATCATTTAGATTCTGAAAGACAGATTTAAGTAGCAAGATATTATCACTGATTTTGTAAACCTGTAAAAAGGGCGACTTAAAGCAGCACGAAAGTAGCGTTAGAATGAACAGGATGAACTACATCAGTTATTAATGCAGTTATTAGAGAGACTCACAGAGAGATTAGGTGTGTGAATTACCTGAGTCTGTGCGTCTCTCAGCGTCTCTGCTTATAATGAAACTGTCAGTTTATCTGCTTCAAGAACAGCACCGTTATTGCCTTGCTAGTGAGAAACGTCATGTTGCTTTTAAGTTGCTAACTTATTTACTGGTAAAATCACTAGAACAGCACTAACAATATGTTCCTGTGCAAGTGCGAGTCCGTAATTTATGTGTACTTTAAGTGGGAAAAAGTGAGAATTTGCTTTCCATACATAAAATGTAGCTTTGTGGCAAAAACATGGGGATAATGTAGGGCTGTCAAACGATTAATCGCATCCAAAATAATAGTTTGTGTTTACATATGTGGGTGCACTGTGTATAATTATTTTGTATATATATATATATATATATATATATATATATATAAACACACACACATGCATGTATATTTATGAAAAAGAAATATATTTATATATAATATACAGTATATACATGAAAATATTTCTTAAATATATACAAGCATGTGTGTGTATTTATACACTGTAAAAAATATTTTCAAGATTTGTTATCCCAACATATTTTCTTTTGTTAAATCAACTTTATAATAATTTATTTAGTTGAGATAACTTATTATTTTGAGTTTCTGATGATTAAATTAATCTCCTTCATTGTATTAACTCACTTTTTCCAGTTCAATCAACTTAAAATTTTAAGGCAACCAGGTTACTTACTTTTTTAAGTTAAACCATCAATATTTTTTTACAGTGTATATATAAAAATAATAATATACAGTGCAACCACATATATTATGTAAACAAAAACTATTATTTTGGATGAGATTTATCGCGATTAATCATTTAACAGCCCTAGAATAATGTGTCTTTTTTTATCATATTGTTGACTAGATATATTTGCTTGATCAGTGTCGTTGTGGGTTTCGGTTCTTTTGATGTTACGGACAAGACCTGCCTGTACTACTTAAGCCGTGCGTTTCCCTGAAAATAACTGCACACCTTAGAGCGTTCCTCAACCAATCAGAATCAAGCATTCAACAGCTCCGCCCACAGTACAAAAAAATATAACCACTGCCTTGGCATCTAACTGAAATAAATGCGTTTAAGTACTAGGAACTAAAGCTGAAATAAAAATAATAAAAATGACAAAAGCGCATAAAATTACTACATTTAGAACATTATTAATAAATACTATAATACTATATAAATAATACTAAAATGTTTATACTACTCTTTAGACATACGTAGTTATACCATGTCGAAACACATAATTAAATACCATAGTATATCTGCATCAAATGGTGTTACTATAGTACTTTAAAATACACCATAGTACTCAAAGGTGCTTAAAAAAAATGGTAATTTGGTCACAATGCTACTAAATGTCCAAAAACATATTTTTAAGTACTTGTTTGTAAGTTAAGGTATACATCAAACTACTATGGTATTACATGGGCATGATACCATGGTTATACTGCGTTTAAACACCACACTATATAGATGTGGTATTCATACAATTCCACAAAATATACAAACAATCACAGTACTGTAAGTGTTAATTTTGCAGCAATCAGCAAGTTAGCACTAAGCATAAAAATCAAAATGTCTTTAGCACTACACAAGAAACCAGACACCACATGATCTATCCACTCCATCTGAAGAGCCCTATTGGTCAAAAAACGTGATCCCTGCAGGCAGCTGGCTCTTTTCTTTATGACAGCACAAGTTGCACAGAACTAAAACGAGATCAAATCCCCTGTTTGCAGCTTGCATCATATCCAGCCATCAGATTCAGGAAGGCTAAGCGACGCACACATTGCTCCAGGACGCTAAGGACCTAATTGGTTTTGACAGGAGCTTCTTGGAAAGAGATTATTTTGACCGTTCAAGCCGCGGCTTCAGGGAACCTGTAAACAGGGCGACTAAAGAGGGAACAGGATGAACTACACATCACACATCATGTGTTGCCGGTGGAACCCCCCTGTTAATGATCTCTGGAAACCCCAAGAGATATTCCATTCAGATAAAACATGAAGGTTCTTCAATGGTTCTGCAAAGTTAAACACTTTCAACCTTCCATGGAATCTTTCACACCATGAATTCTTTTTTTTTATTTTAAAAACTATTCACTAACATGTTTGGGGAACGATTCCTCTGCATTGCTTGCTATGAAAACTCCCTTTTAATCCTTTATATATTAAAGTTATTTTTTTAGATGGCCAAAAAGATTGATGTTCCAACATCAGGTTTGGCTTGTTTTTTTTTTTTTTAGATTACAAGTACATAGCTGTTTTTCTAAAGACGTAGAGAATACAAAGGGATTGTGGAACCTAAGAAGGTTCTCTGGTGGAATTAAACAGGCACTTTCAGTTGTTGATCATCAAGACCAGTTTTTGAAGCACCAGATTCACAGAAGGTTTCTAAAGAACTGAAGGATAAAAAGTTATCTGAAGAACCTCAAAAGACTTTAAAAATAAATGATACCTTTTAAATTGATACGCAATTAAAGGAACTTTTCAAGGAACAGTTCCAAAAAGAACTTTTTTTTTCTTTTAGAGTGAAGAACATTCTAAAAATCTGAAGAACATTTTTTCCCACTATTGTGTGCGATGAAAAGGTTCTATGGATGTTAAGGGTTCTTCGTGGAACCAATCATGCCAATTTAACAGCAAAAAGGAACCTTAGAACCAATAGAAGAGCAAGAAACTAACTCTGATGCTGTTTGAACATATAGGATGTTCATGAGCTGTCAAACATGCAAATGCCCAGTTTAATGTCTTTAATAGATAATAACCTCCGTCCCAGAAATTCGAAGCCCTGACCGCAGACTCAGAGCAGATCTGTTGCTCTGTCCTGGAGGATAATGTTACACCTTTACTTTTTGGAGAAGAAGAAGCTGGACAGATCCAGTGTGGGAGGGCTGTTCCAATCGACCCAACCATGGAAACAGAACTAATCTCGACTGAAACTCTTTGAGGAAGATTACACGCAAATTAAAGTACTCACTTGTTTTTGTCGCTCATGTTGCCTGCTGGTTCTCTTCTACCAAAGACCCTGTTTCTTCCCCTTACGCTGAGTTAAAGTGCGTCCGGGCTTCAGAAACACTTTTAAAATACGCGCAAGTGCGAATTCGCTCCAAGTTCAACGTGTCTGGATGCATAAAAGCAGGAACAGATTCAGAGACTCGCTTCTGTTTTATCTGGAGCCAGAGAAATTTCACTGCTGCTTCTGCTAACTACGATACATTCAGCCACCCCAGCAGTCATAACGCAACAGACTCACTAACTCTCTCTGTCCCGTCGGAAAACACTCCACGTCGCGCGTAAACCTGCCCGCGTCGCGTCGCGGTTCTCAGCGCTCGTCTTGAGTCTTGTTCCATATTTAAAGATCTCGCCCTCCTCCAGCGTGACGCAGCAGTGGGAGGATGAGGCGCGAGGGGTCACGCGTGTGAGATGCAACAGTGCATACCTGTAACCTCACACAACGCGGAAAACAAATGTCAAACACTGAGCTTTAGAGTTTGTTTTTTTGTTTTAATCTTATAAACTCTGTAATATGACTAGCAACTAATTCTTAAATAGTCAAAATATTTCTTATAATAAAAGTCAATAGCTACAAGAGCTTTAATGTTGGAAATATTCATTCAATCAATAGTCAATACTCAGTACTAGTATGACTTAAGTATGCCAACTAAATCAATATTATACTTTGATTATTATTGTTATTACATAATATATAACCTTAACCCTAAAACCGTATTCTGGACAAATGTGGGCAAAATAGTTTTGATTTATTTTTAAAAAATATTTCCCTTAATCTAAGTGGTACAAGACTTGGCTACTTTTCCTAAGTTAAGTTTGCCTCCTGAACACACACAATTTTTGACTCAATTCTGCAATGTTAGGTGGGTGAAAAAAGAAAACTCCTTAATCTTGTATTTGGGTCAAAATGGGCACCCATAGAAATTTAGAGCATTGTAAAATAAGCCAAAATAAGACATCAGGTGACAGTAGTCACGTCATCTTTAGGTTTTAGCTCTAGGAACTTATTGGAATGATATTTTAATGTAGTTAAAATAAAATAAAAAAACGTAAAATAAGCATAATCATAGAAAAAAAAAACTGGATAGACAAAACTTTAACGAAGACAGTGATACAACATTTAAAATAAATAAAAATTAGGTTAAGTTTTATTACTGATTTAAACACACACACTATATATATATATATATATATATATATATATAATATATAGAGAGAGAGAGAGAGAGAGAGAGAGTTCAGATGCAAAAGCCTCTAAATGCCATTTGAAATTTTCTTCTAGAATGATCATTTTTATCAAGCTTGTATATTTAAGTTCAGTGATTTCACTTAAATGGCAATGATGATTACCTATTAATTGTTATTTAAGTGAAATTACTGAACTTAAATATACAAGTTTGATAAAAATCATCGTTCAAGAAGAAAATTTCAAATGGCATTTAGAGGCTTTTGCATCTGAACTCTTCATATATACACACACACGCACGCACTACATAAATGACATTCTTTTCCTTGAACGATTACATTTGCAAAACAATGATGCCCCTTAAAAGGAAATGTGATTCCAACACCTAATAATACTGAAATATGAAGTATTTGGTATTGTGGACTTGTTCAACATTTAGTAGAAATGTTGTACGTTTCAAGATTATGTTCTTGTTTTAAATAAAAAAAAGTTGTTTTGTACTTAAAAATTACTGAGAAATGATTGTCAATGCCTCAGTTCTTTATAATTTATGACAAGAAATGTTGACTGTTCCTAAAGGCCTGTAAAACTACGCCACCAACTGGGCGTTCAGGAATATAACCACACACCTGTGCACATCACCGTAACCCTCATTATTTACTCACTCACCATCATGCCTGTCCAGCATACAGGCTTGAAATGACAGGAGAAAGAGAGTACATTATGATTCATTTCATTTTGGGTAAACGATTCCTTTAAAGCCAGACAAAGATCCTTTGATTAAGGCAGAATGGTTGAATATATACACACTACCATTCAAAATGGGGGGCAGTATGTAAAAGTTAAAAATATTAATAATACTTTTATTCATCAAGGATGCATTAAATTGATAAAAAGTGAGTTATAATGTTACAAAAAATCAATTTCAAATAAATGCTGTTCATTTGATCTTTTTATTAATTAAAAGAGCATAAAACATGTATCGGTTTCCACAAAAATATGAAGCAGAAGCATTGATAATAATCAGAATTGTTTCTTGAGTATTAGATCATCATTTCAGAATGATTTCTGAAGGATCATCATGCAACCCTGAAGACTGGAGTAATAATGCTGAAAATGTAGCTTTGTACAGGAATAACTTACATTTTAACATGTATTAAAATAGGAAAGAGTTATTTGAAATTGTAACAAAATTTCACAATATTACAGTTTAAATTATTTTTGATCAAATACATAAATGGAGCCTTAATTAGCATGAGAGCATTCTTTGCTCTTTAGAAAAGAAAAGTAATAGAAATAAAAGTGATCATTATTATTTAATTCATAAAGCATAAAAGTAAAAAAACACATTTACATAAAAACATTGATAAGTGCTAAATGGACACTACCATTCCATAGTTTCAAATTATAAAAAATAGACAATGTTAAATTATTCTGGCAATCAAGTGCCATCTCATCATAATCACAGGGAGTTGAGAAATTCTTTTACCTGAAAAAAAAGAAAGAAATAATAATCAACTTTTAAACAGAAACGATCCTCATATTTTACTTGATTGCATGTGATGCGTGCAAGAAAGTGTGTGTGTGTGTGTGTGTGTGTGTGTGTAGGGGGGTTGGGATGACTCCCCCAGTGTAGACTAGAGTATATAAATGATGTATAACATTCATTTTCTACAGTACATGATGGTCCTTGTATTGCACCCTCATGAGACAGAAGTTTAGTTCTGCTACATTTAGTTCTGCCCACATGCTCTGGGTGATATGCTAATCACGTAACAATGTCATAATGAGGGCGAGTAAATGATCACAACATTCGCTTTTGAAAAAATATATTCATAATGACTTCTTCTATGATAAGATAACAGAGTGAAGTGTGTGTCTGTGTGTGTTGTACCTTCTCAATCATATCTGCACACTTGACCTGGTTGTTTTTAAAATCGTCCTCAACATCCAGGGTAAGAACCGGCACTTCCTTCAGATACTCAAAGTCCACACTGCACACATACACACAAAGAGGGTACATGTACATACTGTGTGTGTGTGTGTGTGTGTGTGTGTGTGTGTGTGTGCATGTATGCATGCATGTATGTATATATATATATATATATATATGCATTTGTATCATCTTGCTACATACATGCATATAAAATAATTAACTCAATTCTCTCACACACACTAGTTTATTTGATCAATAATACAGTAAAATTGTGAAATATTACAATTAAAAAATATATTTTTGAATACATGTTAAAATATAATTTATTCCTATGATCAAAGCTGTATTTTCAGCATCATTCCTCCAGTCTTCAGTGTCACATGATCCTTCAGAAATCATTCTAATATGATAATTTGGTGCTTAATTATTATTGTTGAAAACAGATTGAGGCTTAATATTTTGACTTTTTGATGTGTAGAAAGTTAAACAAGATATTTCAATCTTACCCCAAACTTTGAATGATAGCGAATTATGGTTTCCATAAAAATATTTCTAAGCACAACTGTGGTCAACATTGATAATAATAAATGTTTCTTGAGAATCAAATTTCTGATTTCTGAAGGATCATGTGACACTGAAGACTGGAGGAATGATGCTGAAATTTCAGCTTTGATCACAGGAATAAATTACATGTTAAAATATAAGGTGCATCCTGAAGAGGGCTTTGTAGGGGAAATGCATTGATCAAACTTTTCTAATGTTTTAATGAATTAGCCCAGGTTTTCTAGTTTATTTCTAGAATAGTTTGTATATTAATACCCCTGTAGCGTATTCACTTAGCTTTTTTTGGAAGAATACATCTTAAAATGTATTCAAATAGAAAACAGTTATTTTTAATAATAATAATACATTTTGATCAAATAAATACAGCCTTGGTGAGCAGAAGAGACTTTTCAATAGCTTTAAAAAAAATAATTATTCCAAATTTTTGACCTGTGATATGTGTGTGTGTCACTAATGGCTCGTGTTTGATACCTCATAGACTTGTGCTGTAACCAGCACTCATGTTTATAGTGCAGTTTCTCCAGATATTCCAGTGGGATTCCCTGTTCCTCATCTCTTCCTCTCAAATGCAATCGCTCCAAACACCTCTAAAACATACAAACCACATGTTCTGTCTTTTTTCCCCCACAGTAAAGCACTCGCATTACACACTTTCATCACCCCATCTGGGTGAGTGTTCATTACCTCTGGTTTTGCCCGTAGGTAAATGATGCCGTCCAGCTCAATGTGTTTCCCAAACTGCTTATGCAGCCAGCTGTGCCAGTCCTGATAGATCGCCCACTCGGTTTCATTCACACACTCACTCTCATAGAGGTTAGAGGCAAAGATGTACCTGCAACACACCAATCACAGTCAGTGATTAAAACAAAAAGCCGATTAGTTGATACTTTGTGACATAATAATGGTCGTACAACAATCACAGACTCCGAGAAAGTGTCTGGTTTGACCCACGTATGGTAATGCCAGGTGTGAGGGGCCTCACCTGTCGCTGTAGACCGATCTCTCGAAGAACTGCACAGGATTCTCCGCCTCTTGGAGTTTCCCATTGGTGGATTTGATCTGCGAGCGGATGCGGCTCATGCAGGCGTAGCTCTGGAAGGTGTACGCCCAGCGCTCGGGCTTCTCGTACATCATCTGCAGCACGTTTCCTCCGCTCTTCTGAGAGGTGGTCAATTCCTGAAACAAACACATAGACGTTATATCAGTGCACATTTGTTGTTATGAATCTAATATTTGTGCTTCAAATTCTGAACTGAGATTGATCAGTAATTATAACCGAACTTTTAAATGATAATTTCATCTAAGTTATGTCAGTGTTATACACTGACAATGTATATCTCTGGCATAACATTGATCAGTAATTATAAGCAAACTGATAAATCAAGTTTATTTACACTGCAGGTAAAAGTTTTGAAATAATTAAGATTTTTTTATGTTTTTTCTTGCTCAAAGGTGTATATATATATACAGTAAAAACAGAAATAATGTGAAATATTATTACAATTTAAAATAACCATTTTTTTTGTTTGAATATATTTTAAAATGCAGTTTATTAGTTTGATGCAAAGCTGAAAAATCTTAAGACACATTCATTTTGATTGAAAACTCATATGATAACAACGCATAATAAGTATATATTACACCCAGCACAAAACACTAGTCCAAAACCCATCTCAGAACACTCTTTTTTATTACTGTTACTACTGTACACAAAACAAAATACGTCCTGGGATGTAAGCAAATACTATAGGGTTAATTGATTTTTTAAGTGATCTTTTATAGTGTGAATAATTTGTCACATAAAGTAGGGGACGGTGGCATTTGCAGACAAACCTGATAAAATAGGTTTAAGTGACAGTTCAGTATAGGGTCAAATATCATTGATGTCAACTGTGAGCCATTGATAAAGTCCAGCCTCTCGACACGTTTGAAAGAGAGAGAGTGAAAGACACAAGGACCCTCCTCAAGCTCTCCTACAGAAAACATGAACTAAATTAAGATGTAATTGACTTAACACTATATTTCTCAGTAGTAAGTGTGTGAAGAAGGCAGCTGTTCTGCCTGAGTGCTCAGCTGTTGAGGACCAAACCATCTGCTAGTGTTTGCCAGAGCCGTTTCCATTGCAGCGTGGGATTACAAGCCTATTTTTCATACTTATGTCATAAACATGTAACAGACAGTGGCCACACAAAAACATTTGGACACTTAAAAGACATAATTTTTGTATGAATGTCATAACATTAGACAATAAAACATCAAACCAAGTGCTAGCTACACTCAAACTGACCTAGTTTGCTCTTTGTTTAAAATAAATGCTTGTTTTGACATTTTGTTCTCGAATGCAAAGAGATTCATTCCTATTTTCAGGGTGGATTAATTGTCTAAATGTTGGTTTCTTACTATGGCAATTATTTCTCAATTGCAATCCTATAATTATATACCATATAAAATCATGTTTACACTTTTTTTTCTATCAGTTATTTCTGACTGTACCTCATGCTCGTTGTGATGAGTTTGAACATTGCACCATCTAGCGATGGGTTCCGGTACTACTTCCCATTCTCTATCATGCTCCTCCAGCAGGCGAACAAAAGTGGATTTACCCGCCGCTAGAACAGGACAATAATAGATAAAAATCAGATTTAATGAATACGACAGGAATAAAGAACATAAACGACGTATACAAACGTAAAAAACACTCGGAACCTGCGCCTTTAGCCGGAAATTATATATTCACAACCCAACTTTCGCTAAGACGTTATACGATTCTTAGATTTGAACAGCAAATTTTGTTTTAATTTTTAAGAGAGGCAACGTTGAAATATAAGTTACACACAAACAAATATTTAACGTTAACGTTACTAGAAAACCGGAAGTGTTTGCCAACGCAAATTCGTCGTTTTGAAAGTGTAATAAATATTTAAACAAAATGTATTTCTTCACAAGTCAGACCACTAATTCCATAAGCTACAATCTATGAACGCTCATGTAAAGTTATAAAAACTGAATGTGTGGCATTCAATCAATAATTGTGTCCAGTACAGCAATTAAATATGATTATTACAGTAACTTGAGTACAAAACTTACCAATGTTGCCTTCAATTGAGATGCGTTTCAATCTTTTCTCCAGACTGTCATCCAGAGGACTGGGACAGACTCTTTTGGCTGTTGGAGACATTTTATTTTGTATCTAGCAATGCAGAAATGTGCATTAACACTCGGTACAGTCAGTTAGTTACCCGGAAAACAGGCGGGACATTAAATTCACTCTGGCGCTCAAACGGCAAGAGCCTCCCACCGGAAACAGCTGCGTTCAAGCCACATGTGCTTGACATTAAAACTTGTTTTTGTTTTTTTAAACGGCAATCATTATTATGTTAAAACACACATTTTCATCTGAGAACGAATAACTGTAGAAAAAGCAAATAATAAAAAGTACATTCATTTATAAAAACAATAGTACCTGAACAACACTCTTGATTCCTGTAGATTTATACATAAAAATAAAATAATCAATATAAAATATAAAATCACAAAAATAAATCCAACGTGTTTAGAGAAGGGTTTTATTTGCTCTAGTATGTACAGCAAAAATATCATAACATCTGTTAGTGATATATTATGTTATTAATGTAAACTACAACAGTATCAGGAAATCGTATTAAAGGGATAGTTCATCCAAACCTAAAAATTTTGTCATTATTCACTCATTCTTGTGTTGTTCTAAACATGAATGAGTTTCTTTCTTCTGCCAGACACAAAAATATATTTTGAAGAATGTTGAATGTTGGGACTAGGGGGGTATACTATGGAAGTCAATGGGGTCCAAAAACATTCTTCAAAAAATCAGCTTTTGTGTAGAACAAATGAACAGGTTGAGAACAACGTGAGGGTGAGTAAATAATGGCAATTTTCATTTTGGGGAGAACCATCATTTTAATGTATGAGCCAGCTCGCATATTTACATCTCATCTACCCTAACTATTTTACAATTCAGGGAAAATATATTCTCATTTCAGTGACAAAAATCTCTCTATAAATACTTCAAATATGTCCAATATTAATCAGCAGCTGGCACTTTTACACTACGGCATAGACCGTTCAAACCGTTAGAATTAAAATGATTACATTCGTGAGACAATAGGAATTCTTCAACTTCAAAAATGTCCAAAGGAACAATTCTTAAACTAACAAAAGGATTTCTAACACACAATTATAAAAGTGCAGTAGAAGAACAGAGATGAAAAACGGGTTAAAATGAACATAGAGAAGAAAATTCCGATCACACACTTCATTTCTCAATATCAAACCCTAACAACTCATACGAAATTCACCCAATACACTGAATATTTCAGAACTGCATGCAAAGGAAACTCATCAAAGTTTGCCAACCAAGTTGTATGGAAAACTTAAACTTCAAAGGTTGTTGCTTGTGCAAAACAAACGTCTTATCAGACACTAAGAGTCGTTATCATACATTTTCTGTTTCCCTGACGCACGGCATAACTTAAGATCCCACCCGAAAAAAGTAGCAACTCCAGCATGCACAATTCATATTTCAGTACTCAAAACACAACTAAAATAAACCTTCATAGTGACCGATATTAAATCCACAGATCAGAAAAACATCCATAAATCTCTGATATAAACAATTTTGTCCAATAATATGAATAAGGACAAATAACAAGAGCTTTATTGCATAGGAAAATATCCATTTAACTCTATCTTTCTGTTGCCAGGATTACAGCATTGAAGATTCAAACACCATTTAAACATTCAACATGAGCGAATCACCCATTCGCTGCTTTAACATGGCACAGGCACCACGCTAACACGCACAAAGTTCAATTCTCATGGGTTAAAACCCCTCCCGTTCAGTAACCAAAATGTGACGGACCTAAAAATCATACATAGCCATTTCACCCAGGCATCATGTTGTCATCAATGGCCACACATCAGGTTTGATTCATGTACAACTATTAGTATTGTGCCGATCCTGTACTTTCACTACACTTGGCCTAGCAGTTCTGTGCGGTTAAAATCATCTGTACAAAGCAAAAGAGACATGGGAGAGTCAGAAGAGAGAAGGAGGATCCTTTTTTCTTCATTCTTAACTTCTTTTCTCAGTTTATCTGTCTTTTGTTGTGAGTTTCTCAATGAGCTCTTGAAGAGGCGCCAGCTCCTTACGGTCGATCAAGTTAAACTCCTGAAAACAGACAAAACGCACCATTTATTTTAAATTCAGGAACATCAAAACTACAATGAAGTTCAGAGGATTTTTGTAATCTTTTTCTCTTCCGAGCACCAAAGCTGCATTTATTTGATCAAAAATACAGTAAAAACAGTAATATCGTGAATCTGTTCTCAATGCGAATATCAAAGCTGAATTTTCCGCATCTTCACATGATCGCTTCAGTGTCACATGATCCTTCAGAAATCATTCTGATATGATGATTTGCTGCTCAAGAAACATTTCTCATCATTATCATCAATGTTGAAAACAGTTGTGCTGCTTCATATGTGGAAACCATGATACATTCGTTGATGAATTGAAAGTTCAAAAGAACAGCATTTATTTGAAATATAAATCTTTTGTGACATTCGTTTACTGTCACCTTTGATAAATGTGATGCATCCTTGCTGAATTAAAGTATTAATCTCTTTCACAAAAGAATGCAACTCTTTTACATTTATCACTTGAGAAAACTTATTTAAATGGCAACTACATCATGTCATATACATTTAAAGGAGTAGTTCACTGTTAAAAAAAAAAAGAAAAAACTTTTACTGATAGTTTACTCACCTCCATGTCATCCAAGATTTCCATGTCATTCTTTCTTCAGTCGAAAAGAAATTAAGGTTTTTGATGAAAACATTCCAGCATTTTTCTCCATATAATGGACTTCAATGGTAACCAAACGGTTCAAGGTCCAAAAGACAGTTTCAGAGCAAACTGCAAACTGTTCAAAGGGCTTTAAACGATTCCAGACGATGAATAAGGTCTTAACCGAAACGATTGAGTTTTATAAACTCAAATGGTCGCCTTGCTCTGTTCTCTGATGCGCGTTCGTGACTCTCCTGTTCAAACTCGTTTATCAAAATGAACAAATTTTTTGGTTCATTCAACGAACAAAATGAACTTTGATGAACGAGTTTGAACAGGAGAGTCACGAACGCGCATCACAGAACAGAGCAAGGTGACCATTTGAGCTTATAAAACTTCAACTTTGTTTTTGTTTTTTTAAATGAGTGATTGTTTCGCTTTATAAGACCCTTATTCATCATCTGGAATCATTTAAAGCCCTTTGAACAGTTTTCAGTTTGTACTGAAACTGTCTTTTAGACCTTGAACCGTTTGGTTCCCATTGAAGTCCATTATATGGAGAAAAATCCTGGAATGTTTTCATCAAAAACCTTAATTTCTTTTCAACTGAAGAAAGAATGACATGGACATCTTGGATGACATGGGGGTGAGTAAATTATCAGCAAACGTTTTTTTTAAAAGTGAATTACTCCTTTAAATCTGAGCAGTTGTTCTGAAAGGCCTGAGAAACATTATATTATTATATACAGTGGTTTCTCCTACTTTTCTTACTGATATTTAATTTATCAGAAAGTGATGATTTTGTCATTTTTGACTCACTGGACAGAAACGGTGCTTTATTTGCAAATGTTTTATGCGATATTCCAATCTTGCACATAACTTAAATTCGCAACTTTAGACGGAAACATAGATTTTGATTAGCAGTGAAATGGTTCATTTGGATTTTTAACCGATATCTTTTGTCATACTGCAGTTGCTCCCATATAAAACAAGCTGCAAGTCACTTTAGGCCATGATTTTGACTCTGAAAAAGCCTCTTTCGTCATTTTAGGATGTTGATAATAAGTATAAAACAGTGACAGCACCTGTACAAAGAAGATGAAGTGTTTGAAAGACGTGTTGAGGTGAGCTTCCTCCTGAAGCTGCATGACCGCGTCAAAGTGCTGATGATAAATATGGGCATAAACTCTGAACAAGCGCTTCAGAATAGTCTTGGCCACAGACATGAAGTTCTTGGGGAAGGGAACACCTGGAAATGGATATAGTTCACATTAACTTTGTGGAAAACAATGTTGAAACGCATAAATACTGACGCATAAGTTTAAATATGTACAAACCCAATTCCATAAAAGTTGGGACACTGTACAAATTGTGAATAAAAACAGAATGCAATGATGTGGAAGTTTCAAATTTCAATATTATATTTAGAATACAACATAGATGACATATCAAATGTTGAAAGTGAGACATTTTGAATTGCCATGCCAAATATTGGCTCCTTTTGGATTTCATGAGAGCTACAAATTCCAAAAAAGTTGGGACAGGTAGCAATAAGAGGCCAGAGAAGTTAAATGTACATATAAGGAATAGCTGGAGGACCAATTTGCAACTTATTAGGTCAATTGGCAACATGATTGGGTATAAAAAGAGCCTCTCAGAGTGGCAGTGTCTCTCAGAAGTCAAGATGGGCAGAGGATCACCAATTCCCCCAATGCTGAGGCAAAAAATAGTGGAGCAATATCAGAAAGGAGTTTCTCAGAGAAAAATTGCAAAGAGTTTGAAGTTATCATCATCAACAGTGCATAACATCATCCAAAGATTCAGAGAATCTGGAACAATCTCTGTGCATAAGGGTCAAGGCCGGAAAACCATACTGAATGCCCGTGATCTTCGGGCCCTTAGACGGCACTGCATCACACACAGGAATGCTACTGTAATGGAAATCACAACATGGGCTCAAGAATACTTCCAGAAAACATTGTCAGTGAACACAATCCACCGTGCCATTCACCGTTGCCGGCTAAAGCTCTATAGGTCAAAAAAGAAGCCATATCTAAACGGGAACCAGAAGCGCAGGCATTTTCTCTGGGCCAAGGCTCATTTAAAGTGAACGCTAGCAAAGTGGAAAACTGTTCTGTGGTCAGATGAATCAAAATTTTAGTTCTTTTTGGAAAACTGGGACGCCATGTCATCCGGACTAAAGAGGACAAGGACAACCCAAGTTGTTATCAGCGCTCTGTTCAGAAGCCTGCATCTCTGATGGTATGGGGTTGCATGAGTGCGTGTGGCATGGGCAGCTTACACATCTGGAAAGGCACCATCAATGCTGAAAGGTATATCCAAGTTCTAGAACAACATATGCTCCCATCCAGACATCGTCTCTTTCAGGGAAGACCTTGTATTTTCCAACAAGACAATGCCAAACCACATACTGCATCAATTACAACATCATGGCTGCGTAGAAGAAGGATCCGGGTACTGAAATGGCCAGCCTGCAGTCCAGATCTTTCACCCATAGAAAACATTTGGCGCATCATAAAGAGGAAGATGCAACAAAGAAGACCTAAGACAGTTGAGCAGCTAGAAGCCTTTATTAGACAAGAATGGGACAACATTCCTATTCCTAAACTTGAGCAACTTGTCTCCTCAGTCCCCAGACGTTTGCAGACTGTTATTAAAAGAAGGGGGGATGCCACACAGTGGTAAAAATGGCCTTGTCCCAACTTTTTTGAGATGTGTTGATGCCATGAAATTTAAAATCAACTTATTTTTCCCTTAAAATTATTTTTAAACATTTGATATGTCATCTATGTTGTATTCTAAATATAATATTGAAATTTGAAACTTCCACATCATTGCATTCTGTTTTTATTCACAATTTGTACAGTGTCCCAACTTTTATGGAATTGGGTTTGTAAGTAAATCGATAATTCCACCACATTTATATGGCTAAGAGCAAAACTGCACTGCTAACATGTGCAGTGTGAATTGTGAATGTCTACCTATTTTAGAAGGAAACAGGGTCTCGTCATCCAACTGGTCTTGAACCCAAGTCATCAGGTAGTCAATGTACTTGGGAGCAGAGCACTTAATAGGCTTCTTAATGTTGGTCCCGTCTGCCCAATGATACTCGTATCTAAAGGAAAAGAGATGGGTGAAGCAGCAGAGACGGACCCAGTCATTCCTCACTGTCCAAACACACTCACTTCGGTCCTGCGGACATGACGGGGCAGCTGTCCTCCGAGCAGAAATCTGTGATGGTGCCGTACAGCATGTTAATCTGGTTAAAGAAATCCACCGCTGTGGAAACAACCAAACAAAAATATGCAGCTTCAATTTTTTACATAATTTATCTGTAATGCATAAATTGGAATAAATGTGATGTTAATGCAAGTGGCCATGTATTGATGATCAGTCAAGCACACTTTCAATGAATTAAAGATCTGAACTCAGAGGAGCCGATTCATGTGTGTAAATTATTCTTCATGCTCCTCCCAACCATTATTACACAACCTGGGCCTGATGAATCTTGACATTTTCATCCTGGAATATGGGCATGATGTCTTCCTACATGGTTGTGAAATTAAAATCTACACACTCCATCAATCAGGGTTAGAAAAACTGAAGCCAAATATATAACATGTAGAAACATAATAATCTGCAATATTGATCCAATCAAAGACTCATAAGCATTTGCCTATTTAAATCCAAAGAGTGACTTTTTGTTTTTGCCATGTAGTGTATAATAATGCTAAAGTCTTATAAATGATCTTACTTGGTTGAAAATGTATATTTATTATTAAACTAAATACATTATGAATGTATTTTTCAAGTTTTCACTCAAATTCTTACATTGATCATAGATATTTTTCAGAAAAATTTTTAAAAAAACTCAGCATTCAACATATTTTCAAAGGAGGTTTTCCAACTTTGAATGCATCACAGTCTCTGGACACAATGCAACTCTCTGACCTCTGAAACAGAGTGACAAGGATACAAATTGCAAAAGAATGCAAAACAGCAACATTTTTAGCTGTGGTCTCAGACAGCGGGCTCGTACTGTATGTGTGTGGGTGTAATACATGTTGGGGGAGGTGTGCGAGTAATTCAGCAATGTACACAGCGTCTCTCAAGACAGACTGGGAGATCACTCAAGGCTTGGTGTCATCAATAGGTTAAGGGTCAAAGCTTTTAAGAAGGAAATGAGGAAAGCATACGAACACAGAGAGAGTAACTGCAGTAACAAAACCTGTGATCTGGAAATAAAACACACTACAAACGATTACGTTGATGTGTATGAGGGCATAATTAAGCTGAGTTAAGTGTTAAGTTGTTTTGATTGATACTGTATATATATATATATATATTTGACTTGACTTGAATTAATAAATAGGACATCATTTTGGACTCTTACTGTTGACAGCCACCCATTCATTCAGATCTTCTCCTTCAGGAAGCATGACGGCCATCCGCAGGTTCCCGCTTCCCAGCGTGGCTTCAGCGTGTTTGAGCAGCTCATACTGATGAGAACCTTCTGGAATATTCTTCTTCGGCTTAAAGGTCTTAGACGAACGATTCCCGCTGGAAGAGATGAAAAAAAGCCAATTAATGAATGTTGAGATAAGCTACATGACAAAGCACTTAATCAAGACTGTAGAAACACGTGTGTGTGTGTGTGTGTTACATATTCCTCATCTTAAGACACAGACATGTAGTTTATCTGGTTCCAATCAAAGGAATAGACATGTCAATCAGCACTTTATCATTCAAAGCTCAAAAAAATACAATGGCGATGACATCACATGTCTCTGTTTGTTCTTAACTTCTCTTAAATCACATGCTTCCGATGAAGCATCACAAGGGCTTCGGAAAAATTTCCAAATGAAATCATTCTCAGCTGTTTTGAGGAAGCTGGTTTTCTTATGATGAACTTTTCTAGTGGCTCCAGACAACCTTATCAGTAAATTCAATATCAGATGCATCATAACAAACAAGATCCTGCCAGGACTGAGATTGAGATGTACTCGCTCTTACTAATGATGTAGCCTAAACATCTTCTTTAAAGTAATTACAGTGAAAGCAAATACACCTCCCTTCCCTCCCTCCCTCCCAAAAAGATATGATTAGAATGAATGTTAAATTGTATTAAACAGCATTTCTGGTGGATAATAACACATAACTTCTTGTTTACACTCTTAAGGAGATTCATATGATAGTTGCAACTTCATGCTCTGCCTGATAATAATTAAAACTGCATTGAATTTCGAGATATTTCATCAAAAGCTCTGTTTCTCAGTATACAACATATTTTCAGGGGATGTTTTCCAACTTTGAATGCATCACAGGCTCTGGACACAATGCAACTCTCTGATCTCTGAAACAAAGTGACAGTGAAGACACACAACGTGCTTTCTGAACAGCACAGTGTGTAACAAACATGCATTACATAAGATCTGCCCCCCTTCAGCCCAGCACAGAGAGGCAAGAAACCTGTAACAATGTGCCAGAATTGGGTTAATCTCGATGTTGGGGCATTCGTGTGGAAAAAATAACCACATTTTAGCATGTTAGGATGAAACACTGGCACATAAAACGATCTACACGCGCAGAACTGAAGTCAGTTCGGTCCGAAACAACTCAAACAGCTCTTTAGCAAGACGAGCTAAAGGAGTAAATTGGTGACGTTATTCGTCTATAAATAATAATCTCAAACATAGAGTCAAACTCACAATAAGAAGCTCATCTTGTCAGAACACCGGTTCGAGGTTCTGGTTCGTGTAGTGCAGAGAGACACCTGGCAACAAACTTGCCACAGCCGCTGTAGACGCTCTAGTCTGATTTGTAGATGTATAAGTCACGTCACATTGGAGAATAAACAGGGTGGACGCCGACATATGATTTGGAGATCTGTGTCAAAGCCAACCACAACATATCGCGATGGTTCGCAACGCTGACGTCAGTCTTTTTTTTCCCGATTGTGAGTTTATTTTTTATTTTAACATATTTATTTGATGTTATTGTTTATTTTGTTTATATAAAGTTTTTGTTTCAAAGATAGCCTAGATTATTTAAACTGGCAGACTAGTTAGTCGTTAGATAAATCGATAAACTTTCAATGCAGACATAATCACTTATTTTCAATAAAGCAAATAACAACAACAACACATTTCTAGTGTATAAAGGTGTATTAGATATGTTAGAGATATATGCTGGTTTTTATCTATATCGTATATCGCTATATCTGAATAGTGTTTTTGGCGTGTTTTTAACACTTTTTGTTGTGGCTTGATCTCATGTAGGCCTAGTCTTTTTATCATTATCATTAAATATTTAAAAGTTTTAACCGTCACATTCACAACTTCAATATCGTTTTTAGCCTAATGAGTATACAATAATGATAATAATATAGCTGCAAGAACCAATTAACAGGGTTCAAATGGTTAAGACCCAGACATCTATGCTGTTGGGTTCTAGGCTGACCCGAAATGTGTGGCTGACACACATCCACAACGGAGAAACATACACACAGAAATAAAAATGTTAAACTATAACACTTAATACACACTAAACATGCTTACACACACACATTTAGTTGTAAATAGATATTTGAAATAAATGACAGGTAACAAATTGCTTACCAGTCTCCTTTTTTATAACACCAGTAATAAGCTGGCATAATTGCAAAAAAATAAAAAATAATACTTTGGTACTTGAAAAGGTAAACTTGTAACAAATTCACCATTTTCACACACTCACACACACACTCTTTTTCGTTAGATAAAGATATTTGAAATAAATGATAGGTAAGAAAATGCTTAGTTCTCCCCTTTATAACATTATTTTCAGGTCTTACTGTTGTCATAATATATGTAATGTGATATAATTGCAAAAACTGAAACCTAATCTGAAGTACAAATGAAGAGGTAAATGATTTGTAATGACATTATAATGATTTAATAATGTCTTAATATGAATAAAAAAAGTGAAACCTATTAGGAAGCAGAATGAGCCAATGAGTGGTCCTCCGTGTAATTATAATGTTATAATGGCAATTTCTGGGAATTTACGACAGGAATAAAGTATTTTTCACCTTTTTAACTGTTATAAGGGCAACTAGGAAATCACGGTTCTAGAAACAATAAAAAAAGCTTTGTTAAACTTCATGATCCGTCATTTATTTAAAAATATCAATGTTTCCAATGTAGTCAAAACACCAACATAAAATATGGCACCTGCTCAGAAGACATCTTTTTCAGATTTTCATGTGTACACTGGTGTCATGAACCACGTTCACAGCCAAAGCACAACCAAAACAATGTTCTACCGCAAGATGCATACAGTATTATTTAGATGGCCTAAACTTACATAGTGTAGCTTTAAATAACAGCAAAAGGCCACACTTTTACTCCAAACAACATCCATACATACATTTTTAACTATTAATGAACTACTCAAACTATTGTTTTTCCAGTTGCTTACCAGATTGGTCCTATAATATGCGAGTAAAATCAATCAGTTTCATATTTTATTCATATGAAAACATAAGTTTTAATTACAGTACAGAGATACTTTGTGTCAAAAAAAACCCCATGAAAACATGGTTGTGTGTTTAGCAGACTTGTTTGTCTACTGTTGAGACTTGGTTTAATATAATATCTATGTTCTTAAGATTATTAAAGGGTTAGTTCACCCAAAAATGAAAATTCTGTCAGTATTTACTCACCCTCATGTTGTTCCAAACCTCTATGTGTTTATTTGTTTCTTCTACCTTATTTGTCTTGACTACCATAGTAGGAAAAAATACATACTATGGTAGTCAATGGGGATTGAGATCTGTTTGATTAAAACATTCTTCCAAATATCTTCCTTTGTGTTCAGCAGAACAAATAAACACATAGAGGTTTGGAACAACATGAGGGTGAGTAAATACTGACAGAATTTTCATTTTTTGGGTGAACTAACCCTTTAACAGTCAACATCGATACCTTAAAATATATAAGGCTTACATATAGTTACATACATAATCATTCTCGCAATCAAAACAACAATAATAAAAGAAACCTAGAAGGTGATTTTAAAATCACTTTGTCAAGATTTTTTAGAGTGGTCTGGCAACTGTGGATATAATTGATATTCCTGATATGGAGGTGGATCTGATGAGTCATACTGATGAGAAACTGAATGACCAAATTGACCAGGAGCTCCGACGTAACTAGGAGGAGCAAACTGATCCGGTGGTCCAGGGAAACCAGGAGCAGGAAACGGACTCAGAGGAGGTCCGTAGTAGCTAGAGGCACCAAACTGACCAGATGGAGGCATTTGAAGTGGGCTGGGCAGGGGCGGCTCGCCCATAGAGGGCGCTGGGGCAACTGGACCTCATTGGGGAAGTAATAAGGTAAAAGCAATTGTGGATATTGCAAATGACTTTTTAGGATTTAGCTCACAAGCTAGTAATGTCATGGTGCAATATATCACAGGAAGCAGTTGCGAGTGAACAGTGATTTATTATAACTCAGTCCAATGCAGTAAGCTAGAAACACGGTGACGCAGGGACTTCGATGGTCAACCAGATGATGTGAAGACAGACGGTGAAAGTCCACAGGAAACGAAGAACAAACTCAGAGCACGATCGACACTTCACAGAGGACGAGACGATCAGGAATACAGGAACCAGGACAAGGACACACCAACACCAAACAACGATCTGACAAAGATGAGAGAACAGTGGTGAGTATATATGCATGGTGGTGATCGACTGCAGCTGGTGATGATTGATGATGAGCAGCTGGAGTGGATCAGGTAATGCCACACAGACACGCCCCTCACACACGTGCATTCATACAACAACATAAACACGAGACTAGAAGGAAACAGAGGAACTGTCCACCGTGACAAGTAAAATTCAAGAGATGCTGAATTATAAACATGAGGGTCAAAATACTGATTAAAAGCCTTATGGTATTTTTCATTCTTCAGTGGAATGCCAGAAGTTTAATAACAAATGGTCAAGAATTTAAGAGATATATACACAATCTGAAAGAAAAACCTGAGGTCATATGCATTCAAGAAACATGGTTAAAACCACACCTTGATTTTGTATTGAAAGGATATAATGGTATTAGATGTGAGGAGGAGGGTGTATGACATTTATTAAATTAGGAATACCGTACAGGTCTATTAATTCCAAGGATCATGAATGTGTGGTAACTGAAATATTTAATAAAGGTAGTGGTAATTTTAATATCATTAATTATTATAATCCATGTAAAGCATTAAATAGTGAGTTATTGAAAAGCATTGTTAAGAAAAGTCACAGAGAGATTTGGTGTGGGGACTTCAATGCTCACAACAGTTTATGGGGCAGTAAACAAACAAATTTGAATGGTGAGGCAGTAGAAGAAATGATGAATGATAGAATGCTAGTGTGTATAAATAATGGTTATGGTACTAGAATTAATGTTTATAAAAATCAAACTTCTTGTATAGATCTAACTCTAGTTGATAGGAAAATTGCCAGTAGATGTGAGTGGGAAATAGATCAAAACACAAGCATGGGTAGCGATCACTTCCCAATCACATGTACAGTTGATATTGAATTTATAATTGAACAGAGTTATGTGCCTCAAAGATGGAACTTTAAAAAAGCAGATTGGGAGAAATTTGTAGAAAGCTGTGGGAATGGGGAAAGTATATCAATTAATAATGATCAGACAGTTGATGAAATGAATAGTGTTGTCAGTTCTTTTATATTGGTTGCTGCCAGCCAAAGCGTTCCTATTTGTCAGAACCAAAAGAAACAAATCAATGTTCCATGGTGGAATGATAAGTGTTCTGAGGCTATCAAGGACAGGAATAGAGCTTTTAAAAACTTGCGTAGAACATTAACAATGGACAATCTTTTTAACTACCAAAGAAAGAAGGCAATAGCTAGGAGGGTTATTAAAGAGGCTAAGAGAGATTCATGGAGACAGTTTTGCTCAACAATAGGAAGAGATATCACATTAAATAAAGTATGGATGATGGTTAAGAAGATGATAGGCAAATTTAAGCCTCCTCAGGTTGCTGTCTTAATCAAAGATGGGATGCATGCAATCTCAGATTTGGAAAAAGCCAATATGCTTGCTAGAGCTTTTGCAGACATACATAAGGGTAGCCACCTAGAGGAGCGGTATATGAGAAGGAAAGAAGAGGTAATGAAAATAAATAGGAATATCTTAAATACCAAAGAGACAAACATGTCCATTATGGATACTGAAATTAATATGTCAGAACTTAAAAGAGCATTGAGTAATACTGCATACTCTGCACCAGGGACGGACAACCTGTGTTACGTTATGTTTAGAAAACTACCTGTAAATATATTGGAGAAAGTTCTTAAGCTGTTTAACAAAGTGTGGAATGAAGGTAAATTACCAAGCAAGTGGAAATTAGCAAGAATTCTTCCATTTCCTAAACCAGGCAAAGACTCAAGTGACCCAGGAAACTACAGACCTATTGCACTCACTTCACATTTTGGAAAATTATTGGAAAAAATTATAGTTGGACGTTTAAATTATTTTCTAGAATACATGAATCCAATTAAAGGGTATCAAACTGGATTTAGGAGGGGTAAGTCAACAACTGATGCTTTGGTTAAAGTATGCAATGAAATTGAAAAGACTTTAGTAATGAAAGAAGTAATGGCGGCAGTTTTTCTGGATATTGAGAAAGCCTATGATACTATGTGGAGAGAAGGTTTACTGATTAAATTAGGAAAATTAGGAATTAATGGGAAAATGTATAATTATATACTTGACTTTCTCTCTCAACGTTCCATCAGGGTTAAAGTGGGTGATACAGGG